GCAATATTGAGGAATCACGTTAAGAAGAGAAAAGGAGTCTTGAAAATGGCTGTAACGATGGAAGTGACATGGGAATAGAAACAACCAGAGAAATATACACCGGTTTAAGAAACCGTGACAACATTGCACGATTTATGACAAGACCGAACATGAAACATCACTTCATCATGTAGGATAGCAATCAGCTTTCTCATAATTATTTTTCGTGAGAGTTTGCTCACGAAGGTGATTGTGAATCAGTTGCTACGAATGGCATAAATGGATTTTTCTGTTTTATTTTGTTTATATTCACAATCACCTCGATCCATAAAACTAAATCTTCTTGTCCGTCCCTTACGGTCACGAATTACTTACATTTCTCTCTCAGTAGGGCATTTGTCACGGGAGAGGATGAGGGAGTTATTTACTCATTGCTCAATAAGGGTTAGAGATCTAGACTTACGTGAAAGATTGATTTAGCTGCGGATAAGTTTGCACTCTGGATGAAATATGAACGATCTAAGGAGTTCATAAATTAGACGAGGTCGGTAAAACTTGAGAACAAGGCTGACCTGTGACTGAATTGTATCTCGAGGAAGCAGCAATACTCCCAGGCGCTTCATGCTTGAGGAACCGCAATAAGCCCTGGAAGTATGGGTCATTGGTGGCAGACTTAAAATCAACACAAAAAAGGGGACATGCATCTTGCTCTTGGAAGCTTCTAATTAAACTTAAGAGCCTTAGTTACACCCATCAAAAACTTTTAAACAATATGTTTAAAAAAAATCCTTTACTAGCTATATCACAATTCATTACAGTATAAATTCAAAGTCATTGCGGTAATTTGACAGTTTTTTTTCCAGTAAATGACTAAAGACGATCAAACAGTAAGCTATATAAGTAAACTGCTCCAGTTGGTCTATATGTACGGAAAAAGAATATTTCGGAATCTGTTCTAACCACATGATTTAACGTGAACATGCACCTTTGTCATCACAGGGTTTTCGCTATGAACTACGAGCCCTATTATTGATATAGTAATTTATGTGGTAAAACTTTGACTTGGCAATTTCGAAGGTAATGGGTTGAATCTACCTTGCATCTCCCTTCTCATGCTTCTGAATCTCAGAGAGGGCGGTACTGTCTCTTCCCTCCATCATTGTTACAAAGTCCTTAAATGAATCACTGAGTGCAAATTTATTGTGGAAATGAAACGTTTTCAAGAAATTGAAAGTTTCGGCGACAAAATTTTCGTGAATTTCCTTGACTCTTTTCATAACAGTGAGAAGTGTCTCCTCCCTTAGAAAATTTGATCAAAAAAGGTGAGTCAAGAATCCTTCGTCAAGTAGAAGGTGTTTGATATCGTCATTAACAAAAAGGTTTGATATCGTCACTAACAAAAAAGTTTGAAAACTGTCCTGACTTTGTTGCAGTTTCCCTGTTTTCCATTTGTTTTTTCAAACCACAAATAACATTAGGTTCGAGTTAACGTTGATTCATGAACGTACAAGCGAAGTTTTGAGACATTGGAGAAAAAGGTGTCAATGAGATTTCTACTATTAATCATGGCAATTCGCTCATGGTTAGTAAACGTAAAAGCAGCGAAGGCAGCGGCAGTGCACCTGTTTCCAATGACACAGAAGCTGAGACTGAGTTGCTCAAAATGTCATTAAACTTATTTCTATTAATGCAGTTCAGAACATAATAGATCTTTAGATATTTGCAAAGCGAAAAAAAAAAGATAACCAAAGTCAAATTTCGACGGGGTGTATTGAAAATAGTCGGAGTGCTTTCAAATGGATTTTTGAAAGAGATTCAAGACGATCAAAAAAGGGTATTGACGATCGTCAGCGACATTTTGAGCTCACAAGAAATAGCCTTCCTTAAAACAACAACGACAGAATCAACGTTAAGAAAATCTAAAAATTTTAATTATTTGTTCTTTAATAGTTCCATGGTCTCTACCGAACTCTTCCAAGATGACCTCTTTGTATTTTACCATAAAAAAACTGATAAATTAACACACTAACTCACGCAATTCATCTTGTGTAAAATCACTCATTTGTCCATTCGGTAGCAAGAGCTCAAGCTTGTCAAAGTCATCAAGATAATGCCTTGATTGATACATCGGAACTCAAATTGTTTTTAGAACTTTAAATGTATTCAGCAATCTGTTTTCTCTCACCTCTTTAACAGCTTCAGCCGCAATGTCGAGTTTTTACCGGATATTCATGTTGCAGAAGGTTACTTTCTATCATGATATAATGAGGCAGGTGACGTTTTCTCAGACTTTCCTTGAGGCGATCCATCACATTCAGGAAACAAGCTGCGCAGTTTTCTTCCCTTCAGAAAATTGCCTCCTTGTTTTCACATTCCCAGAAAAGTATATTTTTCAAAAGATAGGTACAAATCACATCGTGCATGATTACTAAGGTATTCTTTCTTGATGATTTTAAGTGTCACCACCACGTGTCGCTGTACAGGGGAAATACTTTGGCCAAGGAAATTTTCGGCCAATGAAAAGGATATGCGCCATTCATTATTTCCCATCTCCCGATAGGAGCCACATAACATTCAGAATCTCAAATTTGGTCAGTAACGGTTGATGAAGGCCAAACAGACTTGCGTGTTCGCTTCAGCCAATTTACTTCAGGCTTAGGGTGC